GGCCTGTTTTCATGTGTCTCAGCACAGCTCATCTGCGGGATATCAGTGATGAGATATAAGTTGGCACGAGGATGCTTCAGTTATCTCTAATACAAACAGAAATTTCTCAGATTCTTTACTCGAGTACAATCACTTCCTGGGAACTGGAAACTGTCTAGTCCCCTTGCTACAAAATTACTTATGGGCAAACATTAGACATGCAGCCTTCAATGTAAAATCTTAATTACTGCCTTTTTAGCTGATTTTGTGCCCTCTAAAGGGGTATAAATTAGAAGAGTACGGCTAAATAAATTAGAAGAAAGGCTGCTCAATAGAATAGTGCTGCTCCAAGGTCTAGAAACAAATTCCCAGTGTCAGATTGACTCTTGCCATTTCTGCTCATTCATTCTTGTTTCAGAGGAGTGAAAAGGGACAGATGGAGAGGAGAAAAGTAAGTCTGGCCTTAATTCATCATTATCTTTCACCTGCCAAAGAAGGCTCTACTATTATTTTGGGATTTTCTGGACGACAGGGCCATGTCTCGTCCTCTCTGTGTCCCCGGGGCCAGGATCCCATGTTCAGCACACAGTAAGGCTTAACAAAGGCTTGTTGGACAGAACTTCAGTAGCCCAGCCTGCCTGCAAATATTCTTTACATTTTTGCAAAGAGAGATGATTCTGTTGTGCTTAATGCATGACTTAATCATTCTACTAGCCCATCCTTTGATCCATTTAATACACTGAATATACTTTGGTCGACATCAAGATAAAAAAGTGATACAATTGCTGAGTGTGACTTGTGTGATGGTCTGGTCCTCCTCATTTAGCAGCAGAGACTGAAGCCAGAGAGACAGAGCCATGTGACAATGGCAGGGCCAAGCTAAGAGTTCTGCTCTGACCCCTCCATCTTCTCTCCCACCTCATATCTGTTCAGCACCCCTTAGGGGAGGGGAAGGTTGTTATAAAGAGTGGACATGAATTAAGCGCCACAGGGAGCTAAGGGAGAAAATGCACAATTGACAAGAATTAGAAACAATTTAGATTCTACAAACAAGCACGAAGTAGTCTGTTCTCTAGAAATGATAAAGAAAAATCAGGATTTCTAGGAGCTATTTGGAGGACCTCCTGTTTATTGGGAGGGAAGAAAGTCAGGCACTAGGGTCATTGGACAATGTCCTCCATCACTCTCCAGCTGGGGGATCGAAGGTTATAATCAGCTTCCGTGTTCTAGGTCCCTCCTCAGTAGAAAGGGATGGATGAAAAGGAGGATTCCATTTATAAAGTTATTTTAAGGGTGAAATGAAAACATGCATGAAAAGTGTTCTGACCAGTGCCAAGGCACAAGGACAGTTCATCAGTGAGGCAGCTTCTCTAAGTTGGATATGATTTCTGATGATTATCATGATAGCACAGCACAAATGAGAGAGGAGCCATTACCTGGATGTGATGGTCAGGACAGGAATCACTGCCATTTATTTTACCAGCTTTTTATTTACTGAAGGGTCTGATTCAGCAGGATGCCTTTTCATGTTAATGAAAAAGCTGGATCTGATCATTGTGCTTCCTGGGCTAAAATGGGGATGCCGGGTCTTTAACAAATCGGGAGAAAGAGGAGGGGCTGAGGCTCCCTAGATTTGAATTTAGCAGGCCTGTAACACAGAATTACACATTTCTTACAGAGCAATGCAAAGAATGCCTCACAGCCCTCCCATCGGTCCTGTCATTGGTCGAGATGTGATGGTCCCTGCCCCCAACCCCACTCCCAAGAGTCATAGATAATGGCTGAACCTTTTTTTTTTCCGTTTTTTTTTTTTTTTGTGGCAGTACGGGGATCAAACCCAAGGGCAAGCGACCACTGAGTGAAATTTCCTGACCTTTTTAAAAATGTTGACGCAAGGTCTCATTAAGTCCTCAAAATGCCTCTGCCTCTGAGTAGCTCGGATCCTAGGTGTGCAGCAGGTTTAAAACACATTTTAAACAAGTGCTTTGCTGGGTGGGCAAGCTGGAATGAAATTGCTCCAGACCAGAAGGGATCTAAGAGGCTGCAAGGGGAGTGGTCAGCTGCAGGGCTAAAAATGCTTAGAGAGGGTTAATGAAGTACTGCTTGGGGAGGTGTGTGTGTGTGTGTGTGTGTGTGTGTGTGTGTGTGTGTGTGTGTGTGTGTGATGGAACCAAGGACTGAATCAGTACTCCAGGTTGCCAAGGAACAAGAGTGATGCCACCCTGCCTATAGGAACCATAATGGTAAACAACACGTTAACATTGGGAAATATCTCATTATGTGTCGGTCTGCCTGCAGCACTTTGCATGTGCTTAATAATCCTGTGAGCAGGCACTATCTTCATCTTTATTTTACATATATGTAAATGACAGTGGTTTAGGAGCTGAAATAACTTGCCCTGGGCTGAGGAGCCAGCTGAGATGAAGGCGATCTTCAAAATTAGCCAACTTTGACGAGGGTCTTCCTCTTAATCACTATACTATAAATCAAGATTACTAAGTGATTGCATAATTAATATATGAAAGGGATCAGGTTGTGACATTTTGCCATCCACTGCTCTCTCCCATTTGTTAAACTTGTAAAGTAGATAGATCTCCTCTTCTTCCCTCACCCTTCCAGGCTGTCCCTCCAAGGATGGGCCCACTAGAATAGCTTTCCCAGAAAGACAAGCTAGGTTTTGGAGGAGGGCATGGTAACAATGGCACCTGGCTGATGTCTGACTATGTACTCGTTTATCTGACATTTATTGAGGGCCAGATGTATACTCACTATGTCATAGGCACTGGTAGAATATACTAAGCATTGATAAGAGGCACAAAAATAAATCAGACAGAGAATATGTCCTCAAGGCACTTAAAATATTGGGGGAGACAGGCATGTATAAAATTAAGTATATGTGGTTAAGAACATCTTAATTAAGGCTGGCTTGACTTACCATAAAATGCAGAACAGATGAATACTCTGAAATCTGAGAGTGGGGATCAAATACTTCTAGTTTGGGCCTATCATGGAACTGGAAGCCTGAGAGAAGCGTCATGCAGCTGAGTTTGGAAAAGCAAACAGAATTTAAATATGCAGAGAAGAGGAGCTCAAGTATTTTTTTTTTTCTTCTAAAAAAAGAAGAAACATATGCACAGAGATCATGAAGTAGGAGGCTGGCATAAGGAACTTAAAGTAGTTCCTTTCAGTTGGAGGGTACTGCCCGGAAAGGAGAGTTGTGAATGAAACAAAGAAGGAAGGGAAGGAGGGAGGGAAAGACTGAACAGGGCCTTAAGAGTCACGCTGAGGGCTCTTTGCTTCATCGGGTGGCTCCATCATTGTCCAGTAGTGTGTTGTGGCCCAAGGGGGAACTCCCAATTCTTCTTACACAAATGTCTGCTAGAGTTTGGGGGCTGAATGTCCCCTGAAGGCTCATGAGCTGAAGCCTCGATCTCCAGGGTTGTGGAGAGGTGGTGAAACATTTGGCGGAGGGGTACTGCTGGGAGGTCCTTAGTTTACTGGGGGTTACCTTAGCCCTTTCCTTTCTCTCACTGACCCCTGGTTTGTGAGATGAATAGTTTTGTTCTACCCTGAGCTCCTGCCATAATGTGCTTCCACGCCACAGACCCAAAGCAATAGGCCAATTAGTCTTGGACTGGAATCTCCAAATCTGTGATCCAAATAAACCTTTTCTCTTTATAAATTTATTATCTCAGGTATTTCATTATAGTGACAGAAAGCTAACATCTGTGCTATCCAAACTCTGACCAGTGCCTAATAATTCATTTCTGCCTCAATAAAGACACAACTTACATAGCGAGCTGTCAGAGGAATGTCATGCAGAGTACCTCAGGTGGCAGGAATGAGGGGATGATGAAGTGGTGAGGGATCAGTATATCAACGCATTGCTAAAGAAAAACTGAGCACTTACTTGAACACATGAAAACTGTCTCCTCAGTATATAAAAGTACCATCAGGGCAGGACACATTTCCTGGGCTGAAAGGCAACTAGGCGGGCGATTCCATTATCTGGAATCACCAGGATGTTGACATCAGTTGGGCTTGCAGCATAATTCTGCCCAATTTTTTTCTTCTTTTTTCTCTTTTTCAGTTCTGGGGATGGACCCTAGGGCCTGTGCTTGCTAGGCAAGCTCTCTGTCACTGAACTACATCCCCAGCCCTGCTGCCAACTTTTTAAGTGTCATTTTTAAATTATTTAATTTGGATTTGAATCTTAGCCCTGCCATTTCTCCTTGATCACATTTCATACTTCTGTGTCCCTCTGTTTTCTCATCTGCAAAATCCAGATAATGATACAGAAGGACCTCACAGGGCTCTTGTGAGAGTGAATTACAATAATGGATGTAAACAGATTCCTGGCATGGGACAACTGCTAGGTCAACTGGAAATGTTATTTTACTGTGGGGTGGGGGATAATCCAAAATTCTAGAAAGCAAAACTGCAGGGAACATATATACCCAAAGTATCTTGCGCGCTACAGAAGAGAGGGAGTATTAAGGGTGTCTGCATGGGGGTGCAGCCGGCTCAGAAGGCAACTCGGACGGATAACTGGCTGCTGTGTGATAATGACCAGGCCTCATGGAGCACTCTGCCAAGGCTGGTGACATACAGGACACCAGGTATGAAGAGCAGCACGCAGAGGCCAGAGAGGAAGACTGCCACAGAGTCAAGTAAGAAGTAAGGTGAGTTTGAATCACTGTGTGCAATAAATGGGAATGCAAGGCCCAAGAAACCAGGAAGATGCCAAATTACACAGAAGGGGAGGCGAGGACACCAAGCAGGATGGAAAACCTCTCCAGAGCCTGAGGCCAGACAGATAGTGGTGGTGTGTGTGTGTGTGTGTGTGTGTGTGTGTGTGTGTGTGTACAACTAGACATCGGTAAATGCCCAAACACCAGCTTTCTCTCCCAGAGGTGTCATTTTGAGAGTAACCACTTGATAGTACTGAGACAATGAGTTACCATCTGATCAAAATGAAATATTGAGAATTTAAAAATAAAACAACACACCAAACAACCAACCTCAAAACACTTTTCTTGTTTCGCTTGATGAAGGAGGCCGGCCATTCCAGGAAGCAGGACTGGGAAGACGAATGTTTCCAAATATTCTCTAGGTGAACCTAAAACAAATTCCCACTGCAGATCTCAAGCTGCCCAAGTTCATCTGGGAGAGACATTTGTTGCTGAACCAAAAAACATACTATCCATTCAATAACATGACCTTAAATATGACATTTTGTTCCAGATCCCTGAGCTGAGCTACATTAAGAAAGAAACTTAAAATGTCCCTCTGTGGTGTGCTGAGGATAGGCCAGGTCTGCCACAAGGCCAGACCCACCAGTCTATTATGGCCCTGACACAGGAACAGCAGGGAGGCTAGAAGGACAGAGGGACTTACACAGGCAAGTGTGGTAGTAACTGAGGCTAGAGGGGAACTGGGGCGGGAGCACCTTAGACCACAGGGACGGTGGTAGTGGTTGCCAAGGCCCAAAGCACATAGGTAGAAGGCACAGAACAAACCGGGAGGACAGTGCCAGGCACTAGAAAGGCCAGGGGAACCGAGGCTCAGGGGGTAGGATGTGCCTCAGTGGAAGGCAACATGGCATTTTCTTGTACTTTTTGCATTGGTTTATACCTTTCCCGCCCTCCTTTGCACTTAACACAGAATCTGAGTATGCTTATCCCTACTATTTCTATTACATTTTAACCTTAAAGAGAAATCAGTGGAGTTGAGGATACTTTTCTGAAAAGACAAAACATTGCATTAAGAGTCTAGGGGATGCACTAAGATAAATTAAGTAATTAAAAGGTTAAAAAAACTAAAAGACAAACACTGCCTTATTTCGGTGGTCTCCCTGAAGCCTGAGCCCCCACTTTGTGCTTTTGCAATGTTACAAACCCCAAATTATAAAAGATGAAGCCCCACTTCCTTACTTACATGTTTTTGGATTGATCGTTTCCGGTTTCTTTTGAGGACAGGGTGTGTTTGAGACGATGGTGGAATGGGGAGCTGGGAAATAGTGCTCTGTGTTGAGGTCACGGGAACCCAGCTCCTCCCATAGTGAAACCTGGCAGTAGACAGGGAGGGGAGTCATTTCACAGAAACAGTTTAAATAATTGATTTCTTTTATAACCTTACGAGGGAATAAAATTCCACGTCAGATTTTAGGTTCAAGAGGCACATGGAACACATATCTTAGTCTCCCTTTCCTCTGGAGACATCTATAAATGACAGTCAAGGAATAAACCCCTAGTAAAAAAACAAAACAAAACAGGAGGGCCACCTGCAGATGAGAGATTGGCCAGGGATGAAGCAGCCAAGCAGCAGGGATGAAGCCTGTGTGGAAAATCAGGAGGGAAAGTGGTAGCCACAGGTGGAAATGGCCTGGGAGGACACAAGTGCCTTTCCCTCTCAGAGCTCAGTGCTCAGAGTTGCCAGGCATAACAGAGGGTGAGAGAGAAAGGTAGCAACACACAGCACGGTTACGTGAAGATCTGGCTGGGCTCCACTGGCCTGCAACCCAAACTCCCTCTGCCCCTCAGTACTCATGACTACCTTCACACCAGCCTTTTATATCGGCTCTCCTCCTCTCCAATCACACTTCTGTCAACAAATGAAACAGGCAGCCTGGGAGGAAGTGGAACTGTGTAGGGTATACCATGCTGGCAGCCCTGTCAGAAAAACCCAAAACACTGACCATTGACTTGGAGGCCTCCTGCTCAGCCCCTATGACTCAGGTCTAGCTCTCCCCCTCCCTCCCCAAAAGCCTCATGCAGTTATAAGTGGGGCTTTTCAGAAGTGACTGGATCTAGAATGTGTAATGCTGGGAATGATTCATGGTGCAATGCTAGGATTAAGGGTGAGTGCTACCCACTCTCAAGTCGAGTAGCATGGATACAATGCAAGGGACACAAAGTGGCTTGTCAGTTGTCACTAGCTTGTTGCTTGCCGTCGTCTACCACTACCTGCCATGAACTGTTTCTTCTCTCTGATGCCCCTCTGCCACGTTACCCTGACTTGGAGCCAGCCAATTATGGACTGAAACATCTACAAACTATGAACCAAAATAAACTTTTCCTCCTTTAACATTTGGGGCTCAGGTATTTTATCTCAAAAGAAAAGTAACTAGGCTCCCAAATACTGACTCTGCCTGCTCACCCAGAAGAAAATCTTCCGGCAGACAATCACTCCCCATGAGTGCCTGCTCAGGGCTTTTCTGTTCACAGAAGAGACCCATCCAGAAAACCCACATATATAGCAGTAGCAGAAAAGCACACCAGCTGTGTTGGTTAATTTTGAAGGTTAATTTGACTGGGCTAATACACATAGGGATAGCTGGTAAAGCAGCATTTTTAGCAGGGTGTGTGAACAAATACCTATAATCCCAAGGTAGGGAGGCTGAAGCAGGAGTTTCAGGCCAGCCTGGACTACACAGTGAATTTAAGGCCAACCTGGACTAGGTAGCAAGACCTTGTCTCAAAACAAAAAAACAAAACAAAACAAAGAGCACTTTTAGGTGTATCTGTGAGGGTGTTTTTGGAAGTCAGCAGGTGAGTTGGTGGACTGAATGGGGAAAGATTTGCCCCTCATGTGGACAGGCATCACCCAGTCGGCTGAGGGCCTAAATGGAACCAAGAAGCAGATGGAAGGCAAATTCTCTCTTCTGGAGACAAGACGCCCTTTTTCACTTGCCCTGGGAATTCCATGTTCTACAGCTTTTGGACTCTGAGACTTGCATCAGTTCAAGGGCAAGTCCAGATCTTAGGTCTTTGGTCTTGATCAGAGAGTTATACCATCAGCAGCCTTGTTTCTGAGAACTCTGGACTTGGAATAAACTATCCTAACAGGCTCTCCTCATTCAACTTGCAGATAGCCTCTCATGGGACTTAGTCTTTATAATCATGTGTGAACCTATGACCTTACAGGCTTCCTGTCATCCATTCATCTGTCTGTCTATCTGTTTGTCTGTCTACCTATCCATCTATCTCTGTATTTATCTCTTACTGGCTCTGTCTCTCTGGATACCAGCCATACAGAAAATCCCACCCAGGCCCCCATTTTAGATTTTAAATAAATAATCAAAACTCTGTGAACTAGTCAAGAAAACCAGTAGCATAAACATAAACCGAGCAACTGATCCTGGAATAAAAACAGGTAATTCAGGGAAGAGAAATGTAATTAGTATCTACAGAAAAATATGAGACAAGCCTGTACCCATACAGCAAGAACAGGATACTGGCCACTGTGTCCTCTCTTGCATGGTGGCCCATACTCACGCTACAGGGTGTACTCCTTTTCCTACTTTTACTTGGCCTAAATTTGCAGAGTCTGTTTCTTTTCCTATCTTTAATAAAATTTTGCTACCATCAAAAAACAAAAACAAGGGCTGGGGATTTAGCTCAGTGGCTTCGCTGCCTGCCTTGCAAGCACAAGGACCTTAGTTCAATCCCCGATACCAAAAAACAAAAACAAAACCAAAAACAACAGGATACTATGAAAAAGAAACAATCACTAACCAAAAAAGAGCTTTAGACACAAGAATCTCTGTCATTCCTACTCTTAAAAGGGGGAGGGAACCCATTTGGGACCCCTCCTGTCTCTCAGGAGCTATTCCTATTCTGCAATACATTTTCCTACTCTTACAAAAAAAAAAAAAAAAATGAACCTCTGTCAGAAGTAGGGGCTGAAGTTAGTGTCAGACTACAGAAAGAAAGAAGTTAGTGGAAGTCTAGAGACGTAGATTTGGGGTCCATCAATGTGATCCTACTCAACTTGTTCCAGCATTTGTTTGTTTTGTTTTTCAGTACTGTGGACTGAACACAGGTCCTTTATTCTGAATACATTTCCAGTCCATTTTTTATTTTTTGGGATAGAGCTAAGTTGCTAAGACTGGGCTGAACTTGTGATTGTCCTGCTTCAGCCTCCTAAGGTGCTAGGATTACAGGCATGTGCCACCATGCCTGGCTATGTTTTTGAGATTTTAAACTCTCTTAAGTGCCTATTAGCCCCAAGGTATACACCCAAGGGACTCCCCTCCTGGTTGCCCAGTCCTTGACCCTCTCTGAGCTCAGTCTTCACCTGGCCTGCATTGGCATGCAGAGAAGTGTGTTCTGTTCACAAGTGTTCCCCAAGTAGGTGTGCTGTCAGATCCATCCAAGGCCTCTCTCATCCAACATCTCATTTGCGCCCCATGGAGACACCACGAGTTAGTCAAGGATTACCTTTCCCATTTAACAGATGGAGAAACTAAGGTTCGAAGAGGCTATGCATAAGCAACACTGTTAATAGTAGAGTTAGGGCAGCCCCAGGGTTCTAGTTCTAGCTCCGGTGCCTTCCCCATTTTGCCTCCCTAACTCCTGACACCACCCAACCTTCCCCAGCCATCCACAGTCTTCTCATGTAATAGCCTTTAAGTACGATGAGGCCTGGGCAATACTCACAGTAACTGGAGCTTCTTGTTTGATTACATATCCTTCTGGAAAGTGAGGCTGCTCAGCTTCATACTCTAAAGAGAATGGAAAAAGTCTTCAATTTCACATTTCATTGCGGTTTGTGATGTAATGTCCTCATCACTAAGACAATTTTCCTTCAGCTGGCACTTTACAGAAATGAAAAGGTTAATACTTAACATGGGTAAGCCACTTCATTTAAAATGGTTGAGATGGCTGCTCCCTCATACAAAAGCACCAGGCTTTAGGTAAGAGTCTGAGACTCTTTTCCCAAGATGATACAATTCAGATTTTGCTCCAACATAACTACAAGGAATAAGGGGAGGGATACTAGGGAGGGTGGTTAAGGGCGTTGCCAGTGGCACACACGGAGCAGAGACTAACACAGAAAACATGCCACCCTGAGAGCTGCCCTATTTACTGAGAGAGGGACAGAAAATGCTCATGAGCTATATTAGTTATATCCCTAAAGGAAAGGCTGATAAAAATTTTTTCTGGAAGGGTGAGTGTTTTAAAAGCAACTGCCCACTCATTTTGCAGTGATGAAGAAAAAGTTTCTGGGTAAGATGGTACTGATGGAATGCAATGCACTGGAGGTCAGTTTTATTCCCTTATATAGTTACTTACCGGTTAGTAGAGTATTACTCAATTTTTTTTAACTCCTTAAATTTTAGGCTGGGGGCAAGTACATCAGACTACTGGTAATAAGCACATTTGCTTCCCCGTACCAGCTAATGCTGGGTAACAAGTTACAGCACTTTTCACTTGCTGTGGCTTGAATCTAGAATGTCTCTGAAAGGCCCATGTGCTAAGTAAAGACTTGGCATGTTGGGAGGTGGCTGAATCTTTCAGAGGTGAGGCCTAATGGGAAGTCTTCTCATCCCTGGGGATGTGCAATCGAGGGGGAGAGTGGGGCTCCAGCCTTTCTTCTCCTCTGCTTCCTGAGCATGAGAAAAACGGCTTTGCTATGCCATGCCATCCCTCCATGATGTACTGCCTCCCCACTGGCCCAAAAGTTACAGGGCCGGTCAACTAAGCCCTGGTATGGTTAAAAACTGTGAGCCAAAATAAACCCTTTGCCTGTTGTTATAATGAGGGAAAGTGAATACAGCCCTTACCCTCAGAAGATACGTCCCAAGATGTCTCTCAGATACCTAAATCACGATTATACTGAGTACTACGTGTGTTTTTCGTGTTCACATATATATTTATGAGAGTTCGACTTATAAATTAGACACAGAAAGCTGGTCGTGGTGGCACACGTCTGTAATTCCGGCACTCGGAAGGCTGAGGCAGGAGGACTGCTAAGAGCTCAAGGCCATGCTGGGCTACATGGTGAGCTTGAGGACAACGGAACTACAGAGCAAGGTCCTGTCTCAAAAAGAAAAAGACACAGTAAGAGAGCAACAACAGTAACTAATAATAAAAGAGAAAACGTTCAGCAGAGCGGAAACTTAGCAAGTGAGCAATTTAGCAAGATCCTATCTCAAAAAATAATTAATCACAATCTCTTATAAAAAGTTATTTATAATTATCAATTGTTTCTGAAACATTCCTTCCATGAATTTTTTTCAGGCCACAGTTAATTGCAGGTAACTAAAACTGCAGAAAGTGAAACCTCAGAGAGAAGGGGCACTACTGTACTACAGAATTAGGGATTTAAAGCAACACAAATTTATTATGTCATAGTTTCCTTGAGGTAAAAGCCCAGGACTAGAGTTCGGTACATTAGCACACATCTGTAATCTCAGCTATTAAGGAGAATAAGGCAGAAGGACCACACGTCTGAGGTCATCCTGGGTGTCTTAGTCACTTTGTCACTGAGACAATACCAGATAACCACAAATTAAAAGGAAGACAGATTGCCGGGTGTGGTGGTGCACGCCTGTAATCCCAGCACTCGAGAGGCTGAGGCAGGAGGATCGTTATGAGCTTGAGACCAGCCTGGGCTACTAGTGAGTTCCAGGTCAGTCTCAACTACATAGTGAGACCCTGTCTCAAAAAAATAAGGGGGAGAGGTTGATTTGGCTCTTTTCATTAGTTGGCTCCAACAGAGGATAGCACGGCACAGGGGTATAGGGAGGAGAGCTGCTCATGGAATGGTGATAGGGAAGCAGGGGGCAGAGAGGGACAGAGAGAGAGAGAAGGAGAAAGGATGAGAATGAAGGAGCCCAAAAGGAAGAGATAATCTTCTAGGTCATACCCACAGTGACAGCCTCTTCCTACCAGACCCTACCTCCTAATACCAAGACAGCTATAACACCCCCATAATCCAGTTACCTTCCAAAGGTTCCATGTCTGAGTGCATGAGGCTTCAGGGGACATCTCATCCACAACAGTAGGCAACTTAGTGAGATCCTGACTCAAAATTTTAAAAATTTTCACATTAAAATTGAACCAAACTTTTGAACAAATGGACTTAATAGATAGATATCTATTAACAGAGTGTCCTACCCCACCACATTAGAATACACATTCTTCTTAGCTGCACATGGAACTTTCTCCAAAATAGACCATACACTAGCTCATAGAACATGCTTAAGTAAATACAAAGGAAGTGAAATTAGCCCATGCATATTATCAGACCATAGTGCAAAGAAATTGGAAATCAGTGGCAAAGAAAACCACAAGAGCTTCATAAACACATGGAAATTAAATAACACCCTTCTGAAAACCAATGAGTCACAGATAAAATTAAAGAAGAAATAAGACAATTTCCACAATTAAATGATAAGGACAATACAACATACTAGAATACAATTTCCACAATTAAATGATAAGGACAATACAACATACTAGAATATATAGGATGCAATGAAAGCAGTCCTGTGAGAGAAATTTAGAATGGTGAATTCCCATATCAAGAAAGCATAGCAAGGTTGGGATTTAGCTCAATGGTTCCGCTTCCTGCCTTGCAAGTACAAGGTCCCAAGTTTGATCCCCAGTACTGCCCCCGCAAAAAAGCAGACAAGGCTCAAACAACCTAATGTTGAACCTCAAGCTTCTAGAAAAAGAAAATTAAGTCAAGCCCAAAGCTCGAAAGAAGGAGGAAATAATAAAAATCAGAGCAGAAACCAATGCCATGGAGACTAAGAAAACTATACAAAGAATCAATGAATTGAAGAAATTAAATAAAATGACAAACTCTTAGCCAACCTTATCAAAAAAGTAAAGAAAAGCCTCAAATCCATGCAATTAGAATAAAAAGGCAGAAATCAAAATAGACCCTGCTGAGATCCAGAAGATCATCAATACCCATTTTGAGAACATACATTCTAATAAGATAGAAAATACAGAAGAAATGGTCAGATTCCTAGATACAAAGGAATTACCAAAACTGAATCAAGAAGATATAGAAATTCAAAATAAACTAATATCAGCCCATGAAATTGAATATATAATCTAAAAACTACCAACAAATAAAAGTCCTGGCCCTGATGGATTCACAGCTGAATTCTACAAGAAATTCAGAGAAGATCTAATGCTGCTACTCCTCAAACTCTTTAAAGAAATTGAAAGGGAACCAATGCTCCCAAATTCATTCACAGAAACAAGCATTAACCTGATTCCAAAACCAGAGAAGTATCCAATCAAAAAGAAGAAATATAGGCTAATCTCCATAATGAATATAGATGCAAAAATCCTCAATAAATACTGGCAAACAGAAAGCAGCAAATGATCAACATTATACACCATGACCAAGCTGGATTCATCCCAGGGATGCAGGGATGGTTCAACACATACAAATCAATAAATGTACTACACCATATTAACAGAGCCAAGGACAAAAACTACATGATCCTCCCAATAGATACAGAAAAAGCAATTGACGAGGTCCAACATTCATGCATGATAAAAACCCTACAGAAGACTGGAATTAGTGGTCTTTATCTCAATCTGATAAAAGCCATCTACAACAAACCAACAGCCTTTATCCATATGAAATGGATAAAAACTGAAAGCTTTCTCTCTAAAATCGGGAACAAGACAAAGATGTCCACTATCACCATTCTTGTTCAATATAGTTCTGGAAACATTAGCCAGAACAACTAGGCAAGAGAAAGAAATAAAAGGAATAACAAACAATAGGAAAGGAAGAACGTAGATTATCACTATTTGTGGATGACATGGTATTCTACATAGGAGACCCCCTCAAACTCCACCAAAAGACTTTTAGATTTGATGATCAAATTCAGTGGCATAGCTGGATACAAAGTCAAAAACACTCAAAAATCAATATCCTTCCTGTATACAAATAACAGACTAACAGAGAGAGAAATTAGAGAAACAATCCCTTTCACAATAGCATCCAAAAAACAAATGAAATACCCAGGAAACAATCTAATAAAGGAAGTAAAAGATTTATACATTGAAAACTACAGTACTCTGAAAAAGGAGATTGAAGAGGATATCAGAAAATGCAAAGATATCCTTTTTTCTTGGATAGGAAGAACCAATATAGTGAAAATGGCCACACTTCCAAAATTGTTATACAGATTCAATGCAATCCCAATCAAATTCCCAACAGAATATCTCACAGTATTAGGAAAAATAATCCTAAAATTTATTTGGAACCAGAAGAAGCCTAGAATAACAAAGGCAATTCTGGGCAACAAAGGCAAGGCAAGGGGTATCACTATCCCTGACCTGAAATTATACTACAAAGCTACTATGATAAAAACAGCACGGTACCGGCAAAAGAACAGACCTGAGGATCAATGCAACAGACTAGAAGATGGAGAAACAACTCCAAACACACTTAACCATCTTATCTTTGATAAAGGAGATAAACACCTAAATTGGAAGAAAGATAGCCACTTTAATAAATGGTGCTGGAAAAACTGATTTCCACATGCTGAAGATTGAAACTGGACCCCTATCTTTCACCATGAACTAAACTAAAATTGAAATGGATCAAGCACTAAATCTGCTGGAAGAGAGAATAGGTAGAATGCTTGAGAGCAAAGGACTAGGCAAAGACTTCATGAACAAAACCCAGACCACACAGGAAACACTACAATCAACAACTAGGACCTTATATCATTAAAAGGCTTTT